TTACACCTTCAAAAATATTTTAAGATGTCTATGCGTCACATCTTTGAATTTAAGGAAATATAGAATATAGGAGGTGTAAAGTGTAACTTTATCTAAATCTGAGGGTATAAAGTGTAAGATCGCTTGTATAGGTCTTCAAATCAGAGGATACAAAATGAAATCCAACAGGATGATTTTCATGTCTCTTAAGTTTATCTCTCTATGTTAATTTATTAGACTCAAGAGAGAATAGAGAGAAATTCTAATGCAATTAGCAAGGGGCACAATTGGAACGAAATCTGAACTTTCATTTTGACTAGAATGTGAGTTTGATGCAAAGGGTGTTGGAATAAGACATCATGATATTGTTTGTTGTAATTAGAAAAATTCAACAGAAATAATAACTTTGAAAAAGCAATAACAAATTAATTTTGACAAACGCAGCCACTGGACGAAGTAAACAGGTTATTGCCTAACCTTGTGCCTGGCATTAACTCAGGAAAGTCTTCGAGCCATTACCTTAAAGAGATGCGATCTCAGAAACGAGGAAAGGCTTTGAGCGCGAGAGTTCCTTTGCCTGGTGTGATGAGGTAAAGACACATGCAAAGACTCCGTGGACTCTTGGCTGAAGTTTCATTGGTTGGCCACCACAGTCATTCAACTTTGCCTTGTATCATGTGGGAAAAACCGAATGGACCGTAACAAAATTAAATGGAGGTAAAGTACATATTACCGAATCTTCTTAAGGCGATTAGTTCTTGCTCATAGTGCTTTGGAGATTTGCGAACTATGCCTTCCAAGATACAAGACCTTGAACCTATTTGTATTGGCACTATGCAAACAATAATCAGTCTAACTATTCTCAAAACCGGCACACTTAGACAAAATTTAAGTGCAGAGATGCGTTGTTTTTCTTCTTTTTCTAAATGAAGAAAATCAATATATAGAGTTTGATAAGTCATGTACAAAAGAGAAACGTGAACTAAAGTGGTACATTAATTATGAGATACATGAATTCCGGAGACTTGTGATTATGAACTTAACAGATACATGAACTGAAGATATGTGTACTAAAAAGACATGTCTCATTTTGCTCATATTTTTTTATCCATTAACCCATAATTACAACAGTCCCCTACAATAAAGAATCAACAAAACATTTTTTACTCGAAGAATTTTAAGAGTGCCTATGGAAGTACACAACATCAAGATTGGTTACTTTCGCTTTGAACCTTCTTTAGTAAAAGCCTATCGGACTTACTTAACTAGTCGATGGACTAAGCTTTGAATAGCCAGTTGTTTGTGTAAGCCTAGACAATGGACTACACACAGAGTATCTCTGATTGAAGATTGGTTCTCAATTATGTTCGTTCTTTCAACCCTGAACCTCTCGGGATTCATGATTTACTTTAGAAAATCGAGCCTTTAAAGATTTTTATAGAGTCGGCTAGCTCCACGCATATAGATACAATCCTATCAAAGGTATCCTACTATACCTTACTCGGATGTTGTATTTTAAGTTATAGAAATCAGTAAATCCATAGCGAGCCCAAAACGTTGTAGGAAGCACTGTTGCGTGATAGGAATGGGAGACGATGCTCACACTAGAGCTTACAAAATTTTTATTGTCCTATTGAACCTAGTCAATGGAATCTCTAATTGCTAGGTTAGGTTTCCACCTTAGAACCTCTTTTGAGTTAAGGCTTTTAACCACATTCCCCTAGATTTGCATTTTACTGCTCTCTTGACAAACATTTTGTCAGCAAATCCACAATGTTTTCCTTTGACTTCACAAAGTCTAAAAAAATTATTCCATTTGGGAGCAACTGCCCTACGGTATTATGTCTATGATGAATATGTTTAGACTTGCTGTTATATATCACATTCTATGTCCTTACAATCGCTGCATGATTATTACAGTGAATGCATATCGTAGGCACAGGTTTTGACCACAACTAAACATCCTCTAAAAGGTGTCGAAGTCACTTTGCTTCTTTAGCAACTTTTATCCAAAGTAATAAACTCATATTCCATTGTGGAGCGCACTATTAAAGTTTGCTTCAAGGATTTTCATGATACTACAGCTCCTCCTAGCGTGAACACATATCCGCTAGTCAAATGTTGCCGATTATTTGAGAGTACTCCAACTACTTCATACTATTTTAAGTATTATTTCTTAAAGTTATGTGTGGAAGAAAAGGATTATTCGCATCTTTAATGCCAAACCGTTTAAACCTCTTAATTACCTTTTCAATGTAATGAGATTGTGTTAAAACTAGACCAATGCCGAGCATAACATCCACAACACCTAATTCTTTTATCTCGAAGTTCTACTTGAGAACATTTTTGGTGATTCTGATAACCTCAGCATTATCTCCAAGAATCAGCAAGTCATCAACATATAGATAATTAAGTGCACAATCATTTCACGTGGATTTAGTGTATACACATTTGTCACACTCATTGATTTTATACCCATTTTGGATCATCACATGGTAAACTTCTCATGCCATTGTTTAGAAGCTTGTTTAAGCCCATACAATAATTTGACAAATCTACACATTCTATATTCTTGTCCTTTGACCTTGAATTTTTTAGGTTGTTCCATATAAATCTCCTCGTCAAGATCAACATTTAAGAATGCAGTTTTCACATCCATCTAATGTGTCTACAAATTGTATATCGAAGCTATAGCCATAAACATCCTAACTGATGTTATTCTTGTTACGGGTGAGTGGTGAGTAAGTTCCACATTTGCAGATTTGTGAACCAAAAATCTGTATGCACTACTATATGAGCATAACCGATGAATACGTAATCCACCGTTTTAGGTCCCAATCGAGTTTGTTTAGGAGGAGGAATTGCCACCTTAGCTAGGCACCCCACAATTTCAAAATTTTGTAGGATGGTAATCTTCTATTCCCTAATTCATATGGAATCTTAATCATCTTCATGTGGGGTACTTTATTAAGAATATAGTTTGCAGTTAAAACTGCCTCCCCCACAAGTTCAAAGGTAAACCCGAATATAAGAGCATAACGTTAACCATCTTCTTTAAAGTTCTGTTTTTCCATTCATTAACTCTATTTTGCTGCGAAATGTAACCATTGTTCTAGAAATGTAACCATATGCCATTTGGCCTGTACTGTTTTGAAAACCAGTCCAGGGTATATCGGCCATGCGACTTGTACTCGTACCACCACAGATGGTGTCGCCCCGAAGGCTGGCGGCATTTGTTGCCACAAAACTAGGCTCCGAGGTCTGAACCTCTCCAATAGCAAAGGTCGAATTGACCATAGGAACGTCCTCAGAAATATTCTGAACATTAATGGGAACTTGATTGTTATTAGTTATCTTGATTTTTTGATAAACCCAACACACAGTAAGAAAAGCTAATCGCCTTAAGATTGTTGGATTAAGACATAGCATGGTACCGTTTGTTGTAATTAGAAAATTTCAAAAGAAATAATAACTATGAGAAAACAATAACAAATTAACTCTGACAAACACGGCCACTGGATGGAGTGAATGAGTTATTGCCTAACTTTGTGCTAGGCATCAACTCAGGAAAGTCCCTGAGCCATCACCTTGAAGAGATGCAGCCTCGAAAATGAGGAAAGCCTTTGAGCGTAAGAGTTCCTTCGCCTGGTGCGATGAGGCACAGACATATGCGAAGCCTCCATGGACTCTCTGCTGAAGTTGCATTGGCTATCCCCACAATCATTCGACTTTGCCTTGCATCATGTGGGAAAACCCGAACATATTGTAACAAAATTAAACAAGAGGTGAGGTACGAATTACCAAATTTTCTTAAGGTGATGAGTTTCTGCTCACGGTGCTTTGTAGATTTATTAACTATGCCTCTAAAAATACATCACCTTGAATCCGTTTGTATTAGCACTAAACAAGATTCAATTGACTTCTCGAAACCTGCACACTTAGAGAATTTTGAAGTGAGGAGATGCGTTGTATTTCTTCTTCTTCAAAATGAAGAATAGTTCAAATCAATTTATTGAGTTCGAGAAGTAATTTATAGAAAAGATAGATGAACTAAAGAGATGCATAAATTCAAGAGACTTGTGCACTTAAGAGTCATGAACTTAACAGATATATGAACTGAAGAGACATGTCTCGTTTTCCTTGCTTTTGTGGGTCAATTAACCCACAATCACAACAAAGTCATGATATGTCGATTGCGAAGACGGACGGGTTCAAGAAGGAAAATTTACTGTCAAATATAATGCAAATAGTATCTTTCCAACTGTAAATTTTACTAAACCTTTTAGATGAGCCTAGGGCAATTTATTTTTTTCCCATCAGAATACGATTTAGATACTATACTTAACATAGTATTACTCCGAGAGGAGTGTGTCAGATGAGCCTAGGGCAATTTATTTTTCCCATCGCGAATGCAAATTATTAACTGATCCTAAAAACATTCATCATATTTTGACTTGCCGCTTGTCAAGATGTCATTGCTTACGCAAACACTATGATGAATTATTTATTAATTTTTTTAATGATGATGTTGAGGGTTTCCGGCATTTGAAGCTAAAAAGAAAAAGTGCGGAGATTCCACCTCCAATATCGAGCGAAAAATAAATTATTTAAAAAATATTTTTTTAAAAATTATCACTTGAAATCATTAATTAATAAGAAAATATTTTTTATTTAAATATTTTTTATTCATTTATTTTTGTGAGCAATATGAGTGATCATTTTTAGGAAAATACTTTTTGAATAATTTATTTTTCACGAAACAAACACCGTACTTAGTACGGTGCTCACTAACTTAGGAGAAAGGCCGTGTCCAACAAACGTGTTTACCGCTCGAGCAATTTCCATGATATTGCGAAAGTAAAACTTAATAGCATCGTGTTACACGATGCGCAATAAAAAAAGAAATTACAGATAATAAAACAAAGGAGAGAGGATGGTGATGGGTGTTGGGGCATTTAAACTCTGCAAAAACTAAAGGCAAAACACCAAATTTCATCATCTTCCTCTCGTTCCTTCACTTTGCGTTGAAGCACTCATCTCTGCTTCTCTCTCTTTCTCTTCTTCTTCTTCTTCTTCTTCTTCTTCAGATGATAACTGGAAGCTCGGGAATAAGAAAAGAAATGGAGAATGATGAGAGGAAACATGGTGGAGGGGTGAAACCATCGAGGTTCAAGCGCGTGTGCGTCTTCTGCGGAAGCAGTCCCGGCAAGAACCCGAGTTACCAGCTCGCTGCTATTCAGCTCGGCCACCAACTCGTGAGTCCCAAGTTTTTTTCTTCCCTTTTCCGGTGTCGGCTCTGTTTGCCCTCAACTTCTTGCTCTTCTTCTCGTTCTCAGTTCCTCGATGCATGTTTTCAAATCCACATTTAGAACATGCTTACAGTTCTCATGATGCACGTGCTTGTTTCAACGACAACGGGTTTTTATCAACCGCCGGTAGACGTTTTCACCTACTACTACGTCGCCCATTGATCCTCTTTGGGTTTTAAGTCGTGTTATTGATGTGATACTCTCCTTACATACAGCGAGACACTAACCCTTGCCATTGCCAAAAGTTGACTATGATAGTGATAGGCTGTTGGGGGCAGAGTTACATTATTGAAGAGGTTATAGAGAAATGATTAAGCAGGTGTTGCAAGACGATGCGGTTTGAATTGGACACATCGCTCTAACATTAAAAGAATTGCAGGTGGAGAGGAGCATTGACTTGGTTTATGGCGGAGGGAGCATTGGCTTGATGGGTCTGGTTTCTCAGGTCGTCTTCGATGGTGGTCGCCACGTGTTAGGGTAATAATACTGCTATTATACGAATTTCTTTCTCTGTTTTCATATATAAATACAAAGTATGTACGCATCATTTTATTGCCTAATGCTTCCTTCTAATTTTTCTGGCAGAGTGATTCCCAAGACTCTGATGCCACGGGAGGTGATCGATTGTACATGAACCTCATTCGATCTTGTTGCTGTTGCATGATTTTTCGGTTTAAGTACAGATCAAGAAAATGAGTGCAGCTTGATTTTGTTTGAATGCAGATAACAGGGGAGTCGATTGGAGAAGTGAGAGCAGTGTGTGGAATGCACCAAAGAAAGGCAGAGATGGCACGCCAAGCCGATGCATTCATTGCCTTGCCAGGCACCCCTTTTCATCACTTCAATTACATATTTTCAAGAAAAGATGATGGTAAAGTGAACCTGAGAAGAGACTATAACATGATGCAGGTGGATATGGCACTTTGGAGGAGCTCTTGGAGGTCATCACATGGGCTCAATTGGGCATTCATGATAAGCCGGTAACGAGGAGGGCTGGACTGTAAATTTTTTTCCCATTATTTCTTTTATTACCCTCGATAAGTTAAAATGAAAATACTAATAATAATTTGAATGAAAATGCAGGTGGGATTGTTGAATGTGGAAGGGTATTACAACTCGCTGCTGTCATTCATAGACAAGGCTGTGGATGAAGGCTTCGTTTCTCCTTCAGCTCGCCACATTATAGTCTCTGCCCCGACTCCACATGAACTCATGTCCAAGCTGGAAGTACGTCCATGAACTTCTGTCATTTTTCTTAAGGAACAATGAGTTGATCTCGGATCCACCTAATCTTAACCGTGCACTCGCTGTTTAAGAACTAGCAAACATGATCAATGGACCCAAATAGCACCTCGTCAATGTAAGAGGGCCTACTGAGTTCTTCTCTTGTGAGGTCACGATGTAAAAGTCAAGTGGATGTGAAGGATTGGATAGTGAGATTAGATCTAAAAAACCCAAGATTACTTACTTTCAATTTCCATTTGATTGGATTCACTTTGATTGATTATTTACAGGAGTACGTGCCCGAGCATACTGAAGTGGCCTCCAAACTTTGTTGGGAGAAGGAGCAACAAGTGGGATACTATTGCACCAAGTCTGATATTGCTCGTTGACCCAAATCTAATAAACTCCAGAAACATATATATTAGTGGATATGATAGAGAAAGCATAGAGATCTTATTGGTAAATTTTATTCCAGTGGTAGATACAACAGCTAAGCACCTTTGGTTCAAGAATGGCGAAACCAATATATAAAGCAAGGATATGTGAGCTCAATTGGGATGTAGTCCCACTCTTCTTTTGTACTTTGTCCATTCTTATTTAGTGTTCATTTGGTGCATATCTCTGGTGAGATCCCTATCTTACTATAAACTGAATTGATACTTGATTATAAATGGCAAAATGCATCTTCATAAGCAACGTTGTCGAACCTGAATATCTGGTTGTCTTAAGAAAAAACAGAGAGATTGGGCAACCAAGAAGAGCAAGGAAACCAGACCTTTTATGCACATACAATGGTTTAATGCATATGCAGATATGTGCCATTGCATGGTCCATAAGTTCACATCTGGTGTCAAAGCAGCAGGGTTAATGCACCTTTTCCATGCTAATGAGTTAAACAAGTCGTGACTGCAGCATAAAGAGTAAACAAGGAGGAGGTCGAAATAGGGACGTTGCAGTGTCCACTGCATCTCTCTTTATTGCCAAGGAATCTCTTTCAATTCGTCAAAGAGGGATGAACTTGCTAGGGTTGTGGCGCAATACATTGGGCAGATTTGAGTGATTTAGGCTTCTGAACTTGAAAAAAGATAGAAGAAAAGGACCAACTTGAACTTTTCCAATTGCATTATTGTAGCCTACCAGGCTACAAGAACACGTCTGTGCCTTTTGACTGTACCATGAGCATAAGCCCAAATGCCTCTAATGGTGGGAATTTTTTGTGACCCCCCCCCCCGCGCCTTCTCTCACTCTCTCAGGATCGGGGATATTTGCTGTTGTCAGAGAGATAAGGTCCCCCAAGAACATTGTACTTGGTTGGGAAGTGATCCGTGCACTAAAACTGTCGTAGCGAGAGTGACATGTGTCGCGAGATTAAGAAGATGGGCAAAGTGATCCAGGAACATTTTTTTGTGTGCATCCGGACGTGTGAACCCACTTCGGCTCGGAAGGGGGGCGAAAATTACCAAAATAATTATAGAGTTATTACATTTTCGTCAATTCAATTTTAAACCTTTTAATTGTGTCAATTGAGTTCTAAATATTTTTATATTTTGCCAATTAAGTTTATCTGATCAATTTTGGATGGAAATCATTGACTTGGACGTCGGTTGGACTAAGTGGTAAGGTCGGCGCTGAAATTGATAATTTTTTTATTTTTTTCCTTCCCTTTTCCTTCTTTTCTTTTCTTTTTTCACTATAATCGGCGAGGGTCGTTGGGCCCTTGTCGGCCATTAGGCGAGGGTAACGTAACCCTCGTCGGACACGGGTGAGGGTCGCGCGGCCTCGCCCAGATCTAAGCGAGGCCAAGTGGCCTCCCTCGCGGCTGGTGAGGCTGGCTAGACCATTACGGTCACGGGTGAGGCTGGGCAAGGGTCACAACCCTCGCTTGCAACTAGCGAGGGCCTGACGACCCTCACAGGCCTCAGTGAAAAAAAGTGTAGAAGGAAAAGAGAAGAAAATAACAAAAAGGAAAAAGAAAAGAAAATAAATAAATAAATAATTCGAAGAAAATATTAAAATATTATTAAAAATTATTTACGTTAGCGCGAGTCATGCCTTGAAGAATTTTTAATATGGTCGGTCGGCGTCCATGTCAGCAATTTCCGGTCAAAATTGATAGAACGAACTCCACTAGCAAAACGTGAAAATGTTTACGTTCAGTTGGTACAATTAAAATATTTAAGATTAAATAGATTTAGGACTTTTTTGATAATTTTTTTTCATCGAATGGTGTTCATCACACTTAAGTGGAACTACATGATTTAACGATTAAGATGGAGTGAGCTCACGTGCATTGAATGTAAGCGAGAATCCATCGTGATTGACGAGTACAAAGAACATCCATGTGAATTTTCAATGCTATGCTTGACCACTTTTGATGGTCATTTCCATTTATAGATAAGCATTAACTTGATCTCGTGACGTGGGGGCGTCACCAACTAATTTGTGCTAAAAAGGAAAAGAAATCGCTCAGTTCAATTCTTGTCAACTTCTTCATCTAGCTGTAGCGTTTGACAGACCCCACAACATCGTTAGGGCCCTAGGTTCATGTTTTCTCTCAGCAGTTGCCGGGATTACTTACATACTTCCTTTCTCTGAAGTCGTCTGCGCTACATTCTCATATTGATACGCGGTTCATTTTCATTAGTTGCTCTCTTCATGTGCTATGTCCATGTTATAATCATTTTCCCTTTTGGATATCATGCTTAACCTAGAAGATTGTAGAAGTATTTTGATGCATCATGTAAAAAGTGAAATGATGTACTCGAATCGCAAAATTTGGACAATGTGCTGGATAAAATTCACTAAACGAACAGTTCCGCTTATACTTTCGGCAAAGTTCGCCTGAGAACTGAAATACACAGAAAGATTCAACTTCATTGCTTAAACACTTGGATCAAGAAACTTAAAGCGTCTTCATTGGACAAATGGAAAGTCAGAATAGGTTTATACTCATACTCATCAGCTCTATTCACTCAAAAGGGATCTGGTGCTGTAATCAGTTATATGAAATAGATCATACAAAGATACCGCACATTCATTATGTGCAGATGGTCACAATATGATTGAAATACATTATAACAAGTGTTGCTACCCATTAATCATAGCAAGCCTAAGAGAACAAAAAGCTCCAGCTCTCGAATAATTTAAATGATGCTAAGTAACTGCAGAAAAACAGATGAATTCTCATTCACAATATCTGTTGGCTATGCACCAGCAGTTGAATGCACAATAATCACGTTTGCTTTGCCTCTTCTGTGACAAAGTTTACAACATAGGCAGAGTACATTTCTCCTGGCTTTTTTTCTTTCTTTCCTTTTGGCCAGACTCTGCTGATAAAGCTCATGGCATTATATTTGAAAATGACTACAAATAACGCATATGAATGCTTACTGTAGTAGAGCCAAGAACCTATGATGAGGTAAACCGAGTAACAAGAAACAACTAATAGTACCAGACCTACTAAAAATTAGGGTACCCCATAAGGCTACATATAATACAAGATTGTAATTAGTTATTTACTCAGAGCTCCTCAGGTGAAGGATTGGACAACTGACGATGTGGTGACCAGACCTGAGAGCAAGCCCACAATAAGAGCACTGTTATAAGTGCTCGGTTCCCCTTGCATGGAATTGTTCCTGGAATCAATGTACGTCTCGTTCAGGAAAGGCCCGCCGACGAGTCCTCCCATGGCCACGTTGGGATTAGGATCGGTTGAGTTCAGCCACTTGAAACCGTCGCTGCAGCCCGTTGTGGCATCAGCAGGGATAGAAGCTCCCCTGTGGTGCACATATTGCGGGTACTTGTCACCGTAACCCACCAGATAGCTCATTTTGATAGGATTATTACCTAAGACATAATCAGCCTGGATAACATTCAGAATTAGAGTAGTTAGAGGGCACAAACCAACAAGGGCTGAAGCGATGTTCATTTCATCGTGTTAAGATTCTAGATTAGCAATCCAAGTACCTGAGATTGGGCAAATTTCCGAAGATCTGAAGGCCCGAAGGTTTCTCCACTGCATGAGATTTTTGCAGTTCGGGATGTGAGCATGTAATCACTGTATATAGTTGCTAAGAAGGCAGAAGCGACAGGGTGTTGCAAAGAGTTCCATTCACTGACCCATATAAGACCACCTGCAAGAACGTAAATCATTATAAAACAGGACTACATGGTTCACATAATAAGTGGCACTAATGTTTTTCCATCTGAAGTCAGATGAAGCAATTCTAAAAAAAGCCCAAGTACCCACAGTGGTGTAAGTATTCACTATCAAGGTCAGGAGGGGGCGGCAAAAGCTAGATAGAGGTTTTTCAAAGACATACGAGAATCGCCAAAACTATTTTAACATAATCCTTTTCCTTTATTAATTACCGTTTGAGCCACCTATCAATCAAGGGATGTGCCAACTATTTGTCCTCTTATACATCGAAAAATGAGGTCAGTACTCGTTTCACCTTCTCAGCACAAAACACGTGACTCAAGTCTCATGGCATAGAAAAATCCACTTCTTTCTTAGAGCTAGGCTTAGATGAACAATGCATGTGCCCAGTAGAAGGGTTTACTTTTGAATGACAATAACTTTGTTGGATCCAAATAAATTTGAGAAAAGGAAAATTAGTGGCATGAGATGATTGCATCTAAGCAGCAGATGAGCACAAGTGCAGCATATTACTAGCTGTCCTGCTGGTTGTAGCTGTAGGAGAATTTGGAAAGAGACCGCACATGACAGCCTCCGCTGTTTTTCTGTAACTCTGAAGGCCACTCTTTATGGAACTTGACAGATCATTAGCACCAAAAAAGCTCAACCTGGACAACAGAACCTGCCATAAGGCAAAGAAATTAATCAAACGGGACTTTAGCTCACTTTGATCTTGAAAGTTACGATTCAAGTCAAAGTGCATTATTTGTCTTTTACAAACAAGTGTCCTTTTAAAGTAGCCATATGAGTGGTTTTGCTGGTGTATATTGTATGTGCCTGTGCCAACATGGTGGCCATAGGAAGAGAGAGAGAGAGAGAGAGAGAGAGAGAGAACCACTAACCAACAGACTAAAGAAGGACGACTGAAAATTTGAACAAAGAGATAGCTACAGTTTAGTAAGTCTAGGCTCTACATCATTGATCATTCCAGCTCTATACAAAGAGATTGTCCCATGACTTTAGGGTTGAGTTCATAATGCATGCACAGTAACTTTGCAAGTTCATAACGCACGAGTGTTCGGTTGGATAGCTTTAATAATCCAATTTTACAAGCTTGCGATAACGGGATAACAGACATAAAGAAGTATCAAAGGTTGTACTCTAATTCTCTAAAAAGCAACAAAAAACAATACCTAGATAGTGAGCCAAGATATATAACTAATTTGCTGATTGAAGAGAAACGGAAAGTTACCTGGGTTCCAGCAAGCTTGTTATCCCAAGAAAACCAAGTTGGACTTCCAAAGTTTGCATATTTATTTCCATTTTGCACAACATAATCCAGGTGTGACTGATCCCCGGTTGCATGATAAAGCCAGCTAGCAGCCCATAAGAGCTCATCTCCGTAGCCAGTCGAATTATAGAATGTCTGCACTTCTGGGATGCTGAGACTGTATAAAGCTCGATATTTATCAGCAAAAGTGAACAACTGTTCAGCATGCTTTAAGAGCGTGCTTGAATACGTGGAGTTGACTGTTTTGAAGACAAGAGATGCCGAAGCCATAGCTGCGGCAGTTTCAGCTGCAACGTCCGTTCCTGGAGCAGAGGTGTTCACCTGAGTGAGAGGCCTTTTCTCGGTCATACTTTCAGGCCTGTCCCAACATTTGTGGTCTAAATCAGGATCACCGACCTGGAACAAAATTTGAAACACAACTCTAGTTTTTAGAGCCGTCTTTTTGTAAACACAAATGATGCATATTCTGTAATTGGGATCAAATACTTTCCTACTCCGAGAGATGAAAAGGAAGTTAATGATTTTTGGAGGAGAAAGAATATAAGTGTTGCCTCTAATACAGACCCGTGATGGTGAAGTGAGGACAAATCAGTGTGTTTCTCCCCCCATTCACAGAAGGTAGAGACTGAAGCTAGACTATAGTCTCTTCAGAAAGTCGTATCATAGAATCACAGAGAAAGACAGTGGTAAGCTGTAGAGGAGGAGCTAGTCAAGACAACTACCTGAATATAGAGCACATTGTCCGAAGCGTGAGCATTGATAAGGTAGTCCGTAATCCACTTGAGCGAGCCCCTGGCAGTATCCAGCTGATTTACGGCATTCATCTGATCCCCGTATTCAAGAATCGCCCACGACAACACCGTGGCAGTAAAAGCCATTGGGAAACCAAACTTCATATGATCACCGGCATCGAACATTCCTTCAGAAAGATTTATGTCGGCTTCGCTCCCATCATCAAGAGCCGAATCGCCTCTCCAGGATATAGCGTTATCTCCCAGTTTACCAGCTACACAGACAAAGCACCACAACCCACAAAGATTACGTCCAAAATCGGTAAAGCGTCACATCGTAGCGCAAAATGCTCTTCCAAAGCCCGGCCTTTCTTTTGACGGATCGAACCAGCATTACAGAACCGAGACATAAATTCACCGGCCAAACACAAACTATAACGCCACTCAGTGGGACAAGTCAGTTCTAAAACAGAATGATCCACAAGTATCGCCACACATGCACCACATCAGAGCGCGAAACCGACGTTGCTTGGTAAAAAACAGGGGAAATTCACGCAAAGGACAAAAGCATTACTATCCAGCAACTAATGGTTAATCACGCCATTCCGGATTCGACGGAAAAACAGCAACTAATCCCACCCAAAAACACGACATTGCGCGTGGGAATGCAAATCGATGGCAGAACGAGACGGTGGAGAGAGAGAGAGAGAGAGAGAGAGGAGTCCATTGTCGACATTACATTTCTGGATGTCGAAGAACTGCGTAGCCATCTTGAGAGCGCCGGCGTACTTCTTCTGGATGGCGCCGGGCGGCCCGGGGACGGGAGCCGCCTCGCCGCCGCCGCCGCCGTGATGGTCGGATCTCTTCCTGACGGTGATGACGATGGCGGCCGCCACCACCGCGAGGATGACGAGCACGAGGAACCAGCCGAAACAGCCGCCTTTGGAGCGCTTCTCGGCCCCCATTGTCTGTACGCAATGCGAGGATGGCGAGATCTCGTTCCTGGGGAAGAAATGCAGGCGGAGGGAAAGGGGGAGAGAGAGAGAGATTTGGAGAGCGAGCGGACGTACTAAACAGCGACGGATCAACCGATCGCGGTCGGACCGGATCTGGACCGGGTCGGACCTGGCGTAGGCCCTCGTGGGGGGAAGGCTATATTCGGGCACCGACAGTTGAATCGGTGGCGACCGAGAGAAACCAGCGAGGCGGGATCGGAATCGGTTTTTTCCGTTGCGTCGGTAGGCGCTGCCCGAAATGACGAAAATGCACCCCCTCCGTTCGGCTGCTGTCGTCTTGTCTTGGGGCGCGGGATTATTGCCGGGACGGACGGTGAGAGCCGTCCACCGTTTGTGGGGTCCGCCTCGGGAGGGCTTCCGTGCGGTTTTGGGCCGTTGAGATGGTCACCGACACCTAACGGCGGAAGGTAGTGGGGGTGTGTAAAGGTGACGGTCGGACACGTGGGGCGCCTCTTTTCGTCTCTTTATGTCAGTGAGTGAGTGAGTGGTCGGGATCAGGACGGTGAAGTAAGGTCCAAGCAATGCCTCGGTGTTGCCTTAAGGAACACGGTTAAGGTTTAATGCTGATTAATGGGTGTTGAGATGGGGGCAGGACATTTGGATTTAGTGGAGCGGCACTAATTGAATTGACCGTCTTGCTGAAGCGTAGACCCATCAGTCGGGTGAGTCGGGACGAAATTGATCCGATCCAAATTGTCCATCTAACTCATTTTGACTAATGCTAAATACTTCTATATGTAACCCAATTTAAGAAAACTCATATACAAATTGAGGTGAAAACGCGAAGTGAGTGAGTGAGCGTGAGATTAATTGAGGGCGAGAGACAATTATAGAGATGTGTTAGGTTTAAATAAGTTATGAACCCATTGAACATTTATATTACTTTGAACTTTACAATTCTAAATCCATTTATAACCCATTTACCAAAATATAACAAACTCATATAATAGGATATCTCATGAGCATCTTCTGTCTAGAGACCTCTCATAATTGGAACCACTGTCTAGATGTGCTCTAGAGCTGCATGGACTGATCGATTCCGTGCTTGTATATCCAAACCTCTAGTCCCACTGAAATTGACACCAACCCCAATCAAGGGCGTTCCCCAATATTTTAGGACAAGTTTTTTCGTCATCGCTTCATGACATGTCGCGATGTTCGCCCTTTTACTCAGATAAATATGCGACCATGGCGAGTTAACCGGGGGGATAAAGACATCCCGAATGTGGCTTATGCATAAAGGGATGACCGGTACTATGTTTCAGGCGTGGTTTGGTCATTCGGTCGTGAGTCGCAGACATTGCAGCTGCTTCGTCAACATAAGAGATTTAAGGGGGAGAGGGCTAATGACATCTCTCCCACTCATCTGCTGTTTGGCGAAGGACTGCAATCAGGACAGTGACATTTTCACTATAATGTTGGGCTAGTCAGCACCGTCCTAAAACTTGAACAACACAAACCCACCCAAGGTACAACTAAAGATGGAGCAACTTCTTAAAGGACAAGAAAATAGAAAAAGGGAGTAGACTCGTCTCCCATGATTCAATTCTATAACACATAAAAAGAGACTTCTTGGGAACGGGCAAGAGAAATTCCTCGTGCAGGAGTTTTCTGGGGTATTCTGTTACCCAGAGCGGATTCTTGCAAGATACAAATAGGTTTGCTCGTCCCTCGGTGACCTTGGGGAGTTACAAGAGGCTACGACTGTCAACTGCTTCAATCGCTTCCTGGGGCGCACAACCGCACCAGTTTCCACTAGAACAAGTTCGCTAATCTGCAGTTAACGACCTGCACATCCAAACAGCATCGCACTGACACGAGAGATGCTGATGTGCAGTCCCATTTTCATTAGGCCTCTGAGGTCTTCCCTTTGAGTTTGTAAAACTCCAGCATTTCTTCTTCCAAAGGATGTGTATCCCCAACAATGACAAAGCAATGTAGAGGTGCTCCGAAATCAACCGTTTGTAATTGTCTCATGGATCCTGCTACTATCATCTGATCCTCACTTCCCAACCGCGCGAGCCCCACACAATGGGTATCCTCATTATAAACTACGAGAGAACATGATACAACTGATTAGATTGAAAGCACCAAACTCCAATAACTTGAGAAAGAAAGGAACTATGGCTCTGTCTGTAATATTTTACTGGAAAAGGTTTTCTCCATTTTCCAGTGTTCCATGTATGAAAATAAGTTTGTCAAAGGTAAATAACTTCAGCCAACCGAAACTAATTTTAAAAAAAGGAAAACAACTTCCAAATTTATGCTCTGTATGTTTCGTGGAAAATTTAACATTTTTGAAAAATGTTTTGCAATAAGTCATTTTCCAAGATAATGGCAGTATTTTCCGGTGTTTGGCTAAAATCTGAAAATGAATTGAAAAATATTTTCCGTTGATTGGAATGGAAAACTTACTTTTATTTTCCTAAAATGACATGCGCTATTTGTGCGATTTAAGGGCTACACATGCTATATCATCAAATTTTAAACAAAATTTTCATAACATAAATAGTTCTATAGATTGTGAAAAAATTTATTTTTTTTCTCATGTTTTTTTATCGGCGTTTCTTTTTGTTATGGTTGAAATAAGCATCCTAATGAAAAAAAAAGAAATTAGTTTACTTTTTGTATGTTGTGTAATAGAAACTAACTTATTCCCCCGCCCTTAATGATAGATGCTGACTGTTTAAGTAAACTTGTTGTTACAAGACCTGTTCTCTTTTGCTTGCTATTAAAAAGCATGTAATTATAAGTCCAATAAATAAAATAACCTACCGGACGTCAAGTATCATATACTAACAATGTATGATATTGTTTGGATCATCAATTTTTAAAAAAGTGATTCATTGATCAATTATAGTTAATGAATAAAACCCTACTATAACTTGTAGCTCATATGAAGATGACAGATATCACAACTAATGCAATAATATCCACGCTATAAAAAAAGTCTCATAATTTAAACGATAATAAAATAAAAAGAGAGCACATATAAGTCCTTTGGCAACCATTTTTCAGGAATTTCTCAACCCATACATTTTGGAGATTTGCACTTCACAATGAATTCCCATTTCCTCATTCTCCACTAGATAGTCAAAGACCGATCAAGGATAACTTCATCAAATCCAGCAACTTTCATCACTTTAGCGTAGAGTAATTGATCTTATCTAGACCCATTGACTTAATCGCCGATGCCATTTTTCCAAGTTTTCTAAAATGTTTCGTACATATCACGATTATTGGTACATCTTCGTCTTTTGTGAGATTCATTTAAGAAGGCATAGTAGATGAGGATATTTTTAATCCCTTCATCAACTCATCAGAGGATGTTTTTTATCCCTTCATCAAAGGCGTCACCTAAATCAATAGCTGAGGAGTCAACTTCTGTAACTTGTTGCGCATACATATTTCCAAGCTGCTTAGCAAAGCTTTCGATGGACATATATTTCCCAACCACTAGAACCATCCCATCATACATATTATCTTGTTCAAATACTTCTCATGGGAATGACGGACTGATCAATGTAGATAATCCATAAGAAATCAAATGAGATAATTTGGGCAAAATAATTAATATGTATGATGAGATGGCTCTAGTGGTTATGAAAGATATGGCCACCGGAAGTTTTACTAAGCAACTTAGAGATATTGATGTGCAACTAGTAATGGAAGTCATGCAAGTTGACTCATCACCTGTTGATTTAAGCGAAGACTTTGATGAGCTAATGAAAGGATCGAAACCATCATCATCTACTATGCCTTTTGAGAAATGGTCTCATAAAAGATAAAGATGATAAGTATGGAACACTTTCAGAAAAACTTGGAGAGATGGCATGGGCGATTAAGATGTTGGGTCAAAATAGAATCAATAACTCAAAGTTTATGAATTTGATGAAGTTATCCTTGATCATCCTTTAACTATTTAAAGGAGAGAGAAAATGAGAAAGGCATTCATTGTGAAGAGTGCAAATCCCCAAAAATTATAGATCGAGAAATTCCTAAACAAATGAGAACATAATCATTGATACATTTTATTTAGCTTTGTTGCTAAAGGACTTATATGTGTTCTTTCTTTATATTTTATTATTGCTAGAATTATGAAACTTTTTCTATTACTGATATGTGTCGTCTTCATGAGTTATAAAAGTTATAGCAGGATTTTATTCATTAACTATAATTATTCTATGGATCACTTTTTTCACAAATTGACGATTCGAAAAATGTTATGCATTCTTAATATATCATACTTGAGATCTGGTAGCATTATTTTACATATTGGACTTACAATTACATGCTTTTTAATTCTTTTTCATAGCATGCACAAAAAAAAAAAAAAATCTTGCGACAACAACTAAAAGAACAGTGCACTTAAATAGTTAGCATCTATCATATAGGGGAACAAAAATCAGTTAAACTTCTATTACTCAACATATAAAAACTAAACTAATTTCTCTTTTCTATTAGGGTGCTTATTTCAACCATAAGGAAAAAGAAATGCTGATAAAAAACTGTAGAAAAAAAATTGTTTATAATCTAAATGTATTTATGTTATGAAAACTTATTTTGACAAAACTCTACTTGAAATATGATGATATAAGCATGTGCAGCGCTTATATCACACTAATAGTGCATGTCTCTTTAGCAAAACAAAAGCAAGTTTTTTTCTTTTCAAACTACAGAAAATAATTTGAAGTTCATTTTCATATTTCAGCCAAACACCAGAAAATGTTTTCTAGAAAATGCCTTCTTGAAAAACATTTTCTAGAAATGTCATATTTTCCGCGAAACAAACGGTTCATTTATTATTTCATATTTTGGCCCAGCCAATAGTCTCACATTTAGCAGAATTTTAATTCACCTAAGGTTATTAAAGGTTGTACAGTGTAGATTTCTTCTTTTTATTTTTGGTATGATACAAGTGTAGTCTGATTTAATTTAACAGAAAAGTCACAACTACAAGTTTCTCTTGGCTTTATCCCAAGATTACATCTCCAAAATCTCTCCCCGCTTTTGTCCATATGAACTAGGAGTGCAGACGTTCGGATCATTGTCCAAAATAAACTACCAGGGAAGTCTCCCCAACCCCCAAACCCCTTCTCTTTTTCCTTCTGCACTTGCACAAAAGAACGGCTATGAGAGGCCAAGCATAATCACGACTTCTAGTAATTCATGTGGAAAATAATCTAACTAACAGCTCAATCTAAATTGTAAGCTATCCAGAAACCTGTAACATAGCTTGCATACTTTTCATAGAGCAAATCTTCTATAAGGAAAATAAACAATTAGCTCAATCTAATGTAAATCGATCCCCAAAACACAAACTAGGAACGCATGTCATGTGTTTTTTGCCATGTTCAAAGTTTAGTGCTCGTTCACTCTGCTGATAGCATAAACAAATGAATCATCTTCCAGTTTCAAACTCATATTCCATCAATAATGTGCCAGGCTACAACTAATTTAGTGAGTACTTTCTGCAAGAATATCAGAAAATGTGATTGCTAGATAAGAAATAAGAAGAGTAGCAATGGATCAAAGGTATTAACACAATTTTGTGAAACGGAATGTGCTTGGCATTTGACTGACTCAACAAGTGAATCTAGTCCAATCATGCATGCTGAGACTTAGTTGCAAAAAGTTCTGACACATATCAACCGGACTAAAAGAGAAGAATAGGCTTACTTGCAAAAATTGTATATACAGTTTGAGGAAGATAAGAACTTCAGACTTACCACCTTGCCCTTGCAGGCTTTCAACCTCCAAGAGTTGTTCGATAGCCGTGTTTATCGTCATATATCTGGGTGGTTCGTACACCTTTTTTCCTCTGACAGAAAAAGAAGGGGCACACAATCCATCTTTAGAACAGTCAATTTACACTATAATAATAACAATTAAAAATATGCTAGATCAATTTGCCCACTACCTGCACAAAGATTCCAGAGATGGCTCCTTCACACGTATGTCTGAGCCAATAAGAAACTAGACGTCACTGAATGTATCAATTGGTGAACTCTGAATTAGAGCTCCAAAAGATAATAGGGATGATCATTAATATGACATTTGAACAAAACAAAATTGGAGTGGTAACCAGTTTGCAAACTTTTAACCTGTGGAATTATGGCCTCACCTAACAAGCAGAGTGTATGCAAACCAAGCGTACGATTCTTTTGAATCTTTTCGTAAAAGCTATCAGGTTTCCATGTTTCAGTAAAGAATGGTATCGAAATTGTTTCCCCATAGCGATAAAGTTGCAAACCACATACTCCCACGGCATTCATCACTGAAGCATTGTGAACAACCTTGACATCTATCCCCAATGTCTTTGCACGAACAACAAGATCAGTGTGCGTCGTGGCTCTGTAGTTCAAGTAACACATAAATAAGAGGAGAATGTCGCATTGATTGCTCTGGAATATTACTGTGAAATTAGGTTACAGAGGTCGCAAATACAAGCACACTATGTCTGTCTATTAGGTCCCCAACAAGCTCAAGAACTCAATATTTCAGCTTAAAACACATTCATTATTAATAATGAAGGAAGAGCCCACTATGAAAAGTTCTGCATTGTTGATGCACTGATGTTTCTCACGACATGTGTTATCAATGCTTCGAAATTAGAAATTGAGAATTTCTATATTAAGTATACTTAACAAGTACCCTTAGGGCGCTCGTTAGTGTGACCTGTGATAGAAAAGCAATGCGCAAAAATTCCCAAGGTCTATTAAGAGGAGAAGAACATCAATTCGAGCACTTACTATCATACTAATACATACACCATGGTACGTACAATAGCGTCGAACTAGCAGTTACTCCAATCACTGTTGATGCAAGAAAAAACACTCAAACGACGCTCATCACATCTAATAACATGAAATAATAGTGACCTTAATCAGCTCATTAGCACTTAAAACTCGACTCAAGCGACAAAGATTTAACTCCTCGCCGCTGCCATCTACAATCCGGATAAAAGCAAGCTAAGATAGCATCATCACGCAAATAACCAAGCGAGGTGTGCACTCTACAGAATGAACAAAAACAACCAAAAATCGAACTTTTCGAACAAGGGCAGCGGCGAAAATCGAAACAGCCAGGACCCAGAATCTCCGTACCCGAAAGGATCGCCGACGACGAGAAACGCCACGTCGCTGGAACGAGCTTCCGCCAATATCCCGTCGGCCTTCTCCTCCACCGTCTCCCTGTCCGCAACGGTCACCGGCTTCCCGTACAGCTCCTCCTGAGCGCATGAACATGGTCACACACGCCCGATTGGGTCGTCACCGAGGGGGGAGACACGGAGCGAACCGAATCCGGAGCCCGAAAGAGAGGAGGAGGAGGGTTTTTGAGCAGTTACCAGACTGGAGAGGCCGTGGGAGGAGAGGCCGAAGGAGAGGAGGGAAGTGTAGGCCTCCATGTAGACCTTGCCGCATCTCCTGATTGCTTCCAGGCCTTTGATGGTGATGTCCTTCTCGTCGCCCAGTCCCAGGCCTACGATGTACAACATCTCTCTCTCTCTCTCTCTCTCTCTCTCTGCCGGCGCTAAAACCCTAAACCCGGGGAAGAAGAAGGAGGAGGAGGAGGAGGAGGAGAAGAAGAAGCAGAGGCAGCACGTGCGGTATTGGACAGTAGACACTAGATTCTATTTGTTTGTTGCACAAATGTTTCTCCTTTTTGTTTGCCCATACGACATTCACGTAATTATAGTTGATAAACACGTGACAATTCAATAGTCATAAGTAGAGAGAGAGAGATCGATGTGTCGATTATGATTAAGGCGGGGCTATTTTCACCGGCTATGTAATTAAATTCACCCAATTTTCATCTGGAAAAGATAAAATTGCCCTTCGTCATTTCATTGCGATTTAAGTGATGTTTATGAATTTATTAACTTCTCTCTTTATGATTATAGTTGACGAGTTTGAAGCAAACACGCAAAGACATATGTCAATGACGAATCCCGTTTTTACTGTCAATTGGCTTCTGTCAATAAGATTAATCTTACCTTCTTAATCTAGTTATAATCAGATCATTCATATGGCGAATGTCGAATTCGCATTTTCCTAAAGAATCTCCTAAAGGCCTTAGGTTATAACGGATGCTTTCTCTTGTTTTTTCTTTTTTGCCTATACGTGGTTAGAATGATTAAGTCCGTGACAATTCAATAATTAATGGGAGAGATGATACCGCTTGTCTTTGGAATGCCCGTTTGAAATGATACGAAGATATCGAACATTTTCGTAGCAATCACGTTGCATCCCGAGCAGGTTTTCGTGCATCGGTTTAAGTTCTTCTCCTCGATTCAGCAAAAGACAAATTATCCATATAACGAATGAAAACAAACAGTAGAGTCTTGCAAGAATCAAATCGAGATTGCTTAATGTTACGTTATTTGAAATCTGCAAATTTTACCTCTTAGTCTTGGGAGAGAGGAATGCTGCGACGGCTTATATGTGCTCTATCGTGTCATTATCTGGACTACAAATTTCAGGTCGCATTAAAAAAAAATGAACAAGATTGCAGGAAGCCCGCATTGGTTGTGTATGTTCGTGAGCGAAATAATACAAGATTTCATGAAAGTAAATTGATGCACTTGCATTCATAGAAAAAGAAAAATATAGAACCAGACCTAAGGCAACCACAGAATTTGCTTCCCAGAAAATAACACCTTTACATGACCAGATTCCACGATCCAAGCACAACACAAAAGAAGGGAAAAACCATGTCATCCAATTTAAGGGTCACAGGCCGACACATCTTACGAACTCGGGTTAAATAAGAATACACGATACAAATTGATGGCATGACTTCTGTCGAGAAATTTCACGATCGCTAGCTGATACATCTTATGAAGTCGAGTTAATAAGAATAATGAACACAGATGGATGACAAAACTTATGTCAAGAAATTTCGCGGTTGTTGGCCGCGTGTTATGAACTTAAATAAGAACACAAAACACTAACGGATGTAATGATGTTTCACGGTCACAGGCTGACACCTCTTATGAACTCGAGTTGACAAAGAATATGGAAGCTCGCAAGGATGTAAAGCGACCTAGTTCTATTCCTTCTATGTGCTTTCCGGATTACAAATCTTAACCCCACTTAAGATGTAGCCACCACATGCACTCATCTGCATGCATGGATGAGTTCTCGACGGAAGAACCTGCATATCACAAAGAAACAAACGGAAATGAAAAGGGGAAGTCAAATTCATATCAGAAGTCAGATTGAGCATTCGAAGAAGCATCCTATACCCTACGGAAGAACATAATTTTAAGTAGTCTCTCTGCAAATGAGCTGCCGCATCTAGTGAAGACAAAGATTGTTCGTTTAAGATTTGGAGGAACCTGATATTCACGCAGCCAAGGTTCTGATATTTGCAAACCAACTGCCATCTTTTCAATCTGCAAATTGTGCATGCAATTTGCCAGAGGCTGCACTTGGACAAATGAAGCAAGAAGTTACTAAAATTATCACACCCTGAATGTATTGATTCGCCAGAAAGAGGTGGAAAGAAGCTTGACGTGCGAAAATGAAAGAGCTTATTGACAATGGATGCTGACGATACGCATCTTCATTAAGAAACTGCACGAAATCACAAAATCATTCCAGCTCAACTTGATTATCTAGGGAATCTTATTCCCTCTACGTAGCTTGCATAACAGCTTCTACTCAAATATGCTTAACTAAAGACTGCATATAAGTGCATTAACCACAATGCTCGCCTATTACACAGAAACCAAACTAATCGATATGATGAAATGCAAGCCCACACACCAGTAGAATGGCACAAACAAAGGATTAAAAATTTCAGCAGAAAGAAGTCGAGAAAAAAATTAATGAGTAATTATGCCTAATAACTCATCACAATTATCAGCAAGAAAATTGGAAACACAAACCTGGAGATATTGGTGATAAATTGCAAAGGGAGCTGAATGTGATAGATGGGGCATGAGATCTTTCACTGTGTTCCAAGTATCCAGTTCAGGAGCTGCAACAATTAGACTGCAGATTGGATTTAGAATACTAAATTCCCATCATCATTTGTCTTTGATAAAAGACCACGTATCAAGAGTCATACTACCTGGAAAAACCATTTGCTTTCCACAAGTCGATGGTTTCTTGGGATGCTTTATCTCCAGCTTTTGGGATTTTGCATTTGCTGACTTCATTTTCAGATGGCGGGGCAATTTCTTCCATAACAGTTGGTTCTGTAAGTGTCTTTAGCGAACACATTTGCTCCTGAAAAGATGGAATCCTGATCAATAGGAGACTGACGACAGAGCAAAATTTCGTAAGAAAGACAGATACCTACATTTGATGAATTTGCAGTGACGGAGACATCGTGACCCATTTGCTCAGATGGATCATTTTGAACAGAACATAAATCACTGAGAGAGGTCCTCACAATTCTGATAAAATAAATAAACGAATAAGCAGTGAGTGCACAGAAACAGTATAAGGTAGAATATACACTAGCGACTGGCATTCATATATTCCAAGAGTGAAGAGGAGAGCTGCTTTGTTTCATTGATTAGGCTATATGAATTCTGCAAAACATGTCCCAATCAAGAAAAGTAATACAGCTTTCTTGACAAGTGCAAAAATGCCATCGCTAAAAAATGGTCCAAGTCAAGATGTAGCGAATAAGGCCCATCATGCACTTGTTTAAAGTAGATGACTTCAGTTATAAGAGGTCCTCGACATATTAAAGAAAAACTGTAGGTTAGTTTCACCCCAGAGAACAATAACACAACCTCTAAAACAGAGCAGCGTTTGTTAACAATGCCTCCCTCCCTCCCTCCGTCCCTCCCTCTCTCCGGGAAAAAAGAGATAAAATATACAATTTAAGCAACCTATCACCGCCCCAAAAAAAGTTCTTAAGCCTCCAAGTAAAGTCTGTGCCGTAGGGTGCATTCAGATAAAGGGTCTACTATTAAGTACAATCATGAGGATCCTTCTTCATAGAAGAACATAGCTGAATCTGGTACCACACATCAAACCAAGTAATCATACAAATGGTACCTTCCTTTCATGCACACTGAATTTTTCGAAATTGTCTTGTTCAATCACTCTTAATATAATTTAGAAAATTTTCAAAAGATCGTCTTATCAATTCATTGCGAGTGATATCATCTTTCCTTCCCTACACTACTTGACAGATTGAAAGACATAACAAGTCAACAGGGAATTCACAAAAATAAAATTTAGGTGTCGCAACAGCAATGAAATAATTCTTTACATTTTCCAAGTTCACTTCAATATTTAAAAGTTGCAACCGAAGCACCTGTAGTGCACGAGCTCCAAATGCATACCTTTTACAAATTTCATCACTGAAATTGAACATCCTCACTATGTCCATGGGATATGGGCTACTTTCGAGATACATATTGCACACATAACCTGAACCTGTTGAAAACATGATACCGGTAAAAAATCAAGATTTTTGCACGCAATGATCTTGCTTAAGTGACTAAAACAGTCGTAAAATTACTAAAGAAAATAGCAAAGTGCCTAATCTTCATTTGGGCAGATGATGATCCATCTTCGTGACTGTTCAAACATATTATCGACATTGGAACTTTTTTCATCAGAAATGAAAAGTAACTAACAACAAAGTACATACTAAGCGTTTGTCTAGAGTGACTTTTGACTACTCAAATCTTGGGGCTCACTCAAATTGACCTTTTTTTTCATCTTAAGCACATGAAACTTTTACTATATATATATTTAAGTGTAGATTCACATAAGTTCTCTCATAACTTTAAAAATTTGAAATTTTAGCAGGAAAGTAAAAATGGTGCCTTTTGCTTTTCATAAGTTCAAACAAAAAAACTATTCTTTTACTCTTAAATAGTAGTTGAACAAAGCATTGTCTCTAGTTACTTTAACAACTATATGCAACAATCAATGGTTAAGATGAAATGGACTAACCACCCATGCGCTCTGCTACAGCACCAGTGAGAAGACCACCAACCATATCCACCACAAGAATGTCAGAATTTGCAGCAACATTAGCCATGGAAAGCAGCAGAGACAATGTATCCACTCGCATGAACCTAAAGGCAGGAAGAAATCATCATAAACGCTCTGGTTGTCATTCCCAGCAGTGATTACATGGGAATTGTTCAACTTTATTCTTAATGGTTATTTGTCCATAACTTCATAGCGACTAAACTAAATCCAGCTACATGTTGTTGTGTCTGAAGCACAATATGTTCTAATTTTACAGAAAAAACCCCCATCTGATTATTCGCCCTCATAGCTTTTTTTAACATCCTAAAGCTATTCTGGTTTTGGACCTTCCTCTCGACCTGGAATTGAAAATGCCTTCATATGAGCGGGAAGCTTCCCATTTATACTCCCTAACAAGGGTACTTTATTCACCAATTCATAGCTTACTGTGCACTTCATAGCTAGATGAACACTCACAGTACTCAATGAAATGACAATCAACATAAGCCTGCAGTGATGAAAGATTGCTGCTATTACCCTATTCTGGCTGGATACTTTGTGAAGTATGTCTCGCATATACTGAAAGGAATGAAGAGAAATACAAGTTAGTGCGGAGTCAAATTAAGGAAACAAGTAATCACTATGCAAGGGAAAAGAAGAGCGGATAAACTCTTTCCAATACACAAACATAGAGATGCCTTCTAACAGTCTTTTCGAAATACATCTAAGACCCAATAAAGTGATTATATCATGATATGATGAATGAATTCCCAGAGAGCACTAATTCTGGAAAAGTCTTATCTATAGAAACTTCTACTATATGGAGAACCATGAATTTGTGTATGCAGCCCATGGTTCCTTTTTTTCTATCATTGCACGCTCTATCTATTAAGCACAATAATTGAATACTTGATAGCATTCCAGCCAGTTCATCTAGAATGTTCCTGAAAGTAGCACCATGCATCTAATTGGTTTGACGATCGAAATACAAAGCTTTTATGAACAAAAAAAAATTCTAATTTTATCATGCAGGACTTCTACTTCTCATGTTTTGAACTTTTTAATCTGATAGGCCATCAACTTTCATAAAGCTACCATTTAATGAGGGAACTTCATAAAGCTTCCCCTTCCAACCAAGAAACCGAATAAACCAACATGTTAGCCACACCACACACACATGCCTTAAAGCAACTTCTGAATTTTTGACAGATCTGTAAGAAGAGAGGAAAGAGAAAATGCCAACTGCTGCCAACTCAGATGAATAAACTGTGATAGAAGATAAACAGGATCAATAAGCAACAAGTTCAAGAAGTAACCTCCGTGCCACAGGTCGCCTTAACAGTACTCTAGGAGCATATTTCTTTTGCTTCTTCAATTTGTATTTTGCCTGAAGATAGAATGCGAATCAGCTTATCATTCAAGTTTGACATCTGATATTTTGCATGTCATGAGGAAAATAACCACCTCGAGAGTGAGCAATAACCTGTGAAAATGCTGTCTTCTTCTCAAATGTAGCACTATTTGCAATTAGAGCTTCGATAATTTCATCACCAGTCGCACCCTGTCTGCATCAGACTGATAAGCTTTGGCAACATTTACATGAATATCGTATCAGAGAGACTGATATTTTTTTTTGTGGAAAATTCTCATCTCTCAGATCATCTTACTACTGAATGAAAGACCACCATATATTAGTCTTTCACCTCGCAGTGGTGCGCTCCACAGGAATGATGGGTTTTTATGAAACACATTACAGAGATAAATGAAGAACACTAACTGATAACGGGCACACTGGCCACATGTATATAATATACAAGACTTAGTGCCCATCCTCTGCGACTTCTCATGTACTGAAAGGTTTCCAGCTTAATTACACGTATATGTTATTAGACTCATATCAGTCATTAACAGAGGCGAGCTGACTGATGATATACTAAGTTTTTTTCAGACATGGTAATTGTCTATCTATTTGGAAAAGGCCATCAAATATAACCTCCAGCTAACAAAAGTAGTTTGATGTCTCACCTCCGCAATTCCTCTATATCTTCACCAGAAAGACTCTGAGCTTTGTTGTTGTCGACAAGTTCTCTATTATCCCTGTGCTCCTCTGCTGGCTGATAATCACCATTTTCTTGGATGTTACTGACTAGACAAGTAACAAAGACGTCTTAACAAGATGGACCAAAGTGAAAGCTCAGGGAGGAATACGTCAGCAATGAAAACCCCAGTATTAATAGATACTTAATGTCAAGGCATGCAACAAGCAGATAACAAGTATTTCTTTGTGTGCAGTTCGATCTGAACTGATGCTGCTATTACCCTCATAATTGCACTCTAAATTGAAAACATTGTAACACCTTGAATGAAGAATCTTGTTCTGTTCGCCCTCCCTCCACAGTTGGCACATCTTTCTTTTGTTTTGGCCTTGTAGCCTGAATTTTAGTATGACATGCTGATGGAATATATTGATTCAATGGTATAATACTATAGGCCCCCTTACATTGCCAGAATCCAGGAAAATATCGCATGCATCACCGAGCTGAATTGGAAACTCATATTACAATTCAGAAAATGATTCTCAATAACACCTGAACATCAACACTTCCGGTCTCCATTACTACCTTACACACGTTCATTTAGTTTCTTCCAACATGCCACAATCCTTACGTGACTTCCAATATAAGGACTTCATTGCCCGTGCCACGACTCGAATTGAATGCGTTCACCAATGTACACCTTTAAATTATAAAGGATAATTTTTTTTTTATTCTTGAAGAAAAGGCGTTAGCACATCTAATGGTCGAAAGGAAGATGGAAGCAAGAAAAACCTTCAGCTGATTGGAGAATGCGAGACAAATTCGACCCTTCAGCTCCATATTCGACTTGGAACAAAGAACCGAACGGACAACCGATGAGCGGCCGCAAAGAATAGTTCTTTTTCCCGATCTTCAAAGTCCTGGCAAAAACCCAAAAGACCCAACATCAACAACAAACACCACTAACCATATCGACCCAGCTCCCAAGCATTCACATCAGGCAAAAAAAAAAAACAAACTAGAAGCCGTCAAAATTTCTGAGACACCCACGAGTTCTCGGTGAGCCGAGAGAAGACCAGGCGGTCGCCGTCGTTGATGTCCAGCAAGACGCTGCACCCTTCCCAGGTGACCCTGAGGTTCTGGACCGAATCGACGCCGGATTGATTCCGGGACATGTTCTGCACGGTTCTTGAAGCTGAAACTCCGGGCGAAGGAGGAGGAATTCTGGGGTCGGGGCTCGAAAGGCGAAAGCTTTCTGCGGCTTGCGGGGTCCCGGACGAAGAGGGTCTGACGGCAGTAAACCCCTGAACTCCTCGCTCTCGGTGGGTTTAAGGGGGTTCGATGGGCCTCCCAAGTTCGTGAGATCGTCGTGGAGAAACACACGAGTTCAACAAGCTCGGGAGTTTTGCCGAGTTCGGGGCCGTACAACCATGTAAAAACGGGTTCTTTTTCCCGTTTCTTCGGCCCAGAGTGAAACGAGTCCTCGAATGTGGACCGAACTCGACGTATGACTCTGCCGGTTCGACCGGTCGAACCGGGAACCGAGCTAGCTAAACCGCCTATGCCTGTTTCAGTCGGATCGGATCGGACCTGTATTTCTCGCCCTTCTCGGTAGTTAGTTGTCAATTAATTAGACGAGATTCGGGGCTCCGATCGGATCGTTGTTATTATCCAAACTTACTTTGGTGGCCTTCTTTTTCTTAGCTAATGTGAGCCATGACGAAAAAAATATATACATTGGTCTTAAAACCATTATTTGTTGTGTAACCCATTTCTTGTCTAAATGGGTTTCATAGTGTGGTAGGGCTATTTTCACATCATTTTGACTAAAATACATATTTTTTCAAGAACCAATCGGTTACTTTAAGGGTTAATGCTAAAAATATATTTCAAACTCCAGTATATTTATGACAAATTAACTACAAATAATTTTTGGATTACCAAAAACTCCAAATCTATACACATGTGATAAATTTACTCAAAATTAATTTTTGGGTCACAAAAAATCCCAAATTATTACACGCGTGACACATTTATTCTTCGTTAACTTCTGTCAAATTTAATCGTGAAATTGCTAAACTTGATGACACATGACAATAACTCGATTGACGTGGCAAGTTCACGTCGAAATTCATAACTTTCTCTCTTGTTGTTTCTTCAATTAGCCTTAATTTGAAAACAAATAAGGCTTTCTCTCTCCATACATTTCATTATCTCCGCTTTGCTTACTACGTTTAAGTAAGTTTCCAAAAAAATTAATTACCGGATATCCGATTTTCTTTGGAATCACGTGGTAGTAGAATACTTTTAATAATTGTTCACGAAATCGACATGTGAATTAGAATTGATAAGAAAATATTTTTTTTTATGACAGAACCATGTTTCAAAGTTATGTTTTTATCTGAGCTTTACATGATTTTGATGGATCGCCAAACCTTTATGCTTTCTTTATAATCAAATTCATATTTCTTAATAAACAAAAACTTGCTTACTCTCTTCGTATATGTAATCATTCGCAATTATTAGATCGTGACGATGTTAATATTTTTTTTATGGCAGAATGATAGAAAAGTTTAGTCTCCATATTTTCCTTTACTTTTTCTTTTTATCTTTGTTTAGTCTTATGGTTTTAAGATTGGAAGGAACAAATAAACTAAATCCCAAATTCAGTTTCTAACTAAATGTACTTTCTATTGGCGAGTTTTTTGCCTTTCTGAAGGAAGAAGTAAGCTACTAAAGGTGATCGGTTTCAGGATAACTAGGTTCCAGACTTGGAACATAAAATCTACCCCGTTGACCTTGGAACCGGCTTGAAACTGAATTGGCCAGCTCTTTTTTGTTGTTTCGTTTTATTATTAAACAATATGCAAATATCAAACATAAATATAATTATTTTTACCTGAGGATAATATGTCAAATATATTTAAGGGTTAATACCACGAAAAATTCAAAATTGATACACTTGTGACAATTTTACCTTGAATTAATTTTTTGACCACCAAAAATCCCAAACTAGTACACTTATGACAAATTTATCTTAAATTATTTTGTTAACCACCAAAAACCCTACGCTGATACACTTGTGACAATTCTACCCCAAATTAATTTTTTGACCACCAAAAACCCCAAACTGGTACACTTGTGACAAATTTACCCCAAACTAATTTTTTGACCACAAAAAACCCCAAACTGGTACACCTGTGATAATTTTACCAAAAACTAATTTTTTGACTACTAAAAACTCAAAATTGGTGCATTTGTAATAAATTTACCCTCCGTTAGTGTCTGCTAAATTGGATTAATATCACAAAAAATCATAAAATTGGTAAACTTGTGGCAAACAAAGGGGTAAAACCCCAAATTGGTACACATGTCAACTATCACGTGTCATCAAATTTAGCAATTTGACAGTAAAATTTAACGAAAACTAACAGAGGGTAAATGTGTCACAGGTATACCAATTTGGGGTTTTTGGTGGTCAAAAAATTAGTTCGGAGTAAAATTGTCACAAATGTACCAGTGTGAGATTTTTTGTGATCAAAAAAATAGTTTGAGGTAAAATTACCACAGCTGTACCAATTTGGAGATTTTTGTGATCAAAAAAATAATTTAGGGTAAAATTGTCACAGGTGTACTAGTTTGGGGTTTTTCATGGTATTAACCCTAAATTTAATTACAACAAGTATTTTCAATCTTAAAAAAAAAGAGTGACAGTATTTTTTTAGGGTTAGGGGTAAACCGGCTCAAAATCAATTCGGTTCCAAGTTTCCCGGTACAACTGGCTTATTCAAGGTATAAAATTGGTAAACCAAACCTATCAAGACCAGTTTCCGGGTTGAATCGGCTTGGTTGCTCACCCTTATAAATTACTCTCTTCAAAAGGAATTTTTTTTAAATAAATCAATATAAGTAAGTAGTAATTCATAAATTATAATTGCCTAAAAAATGTGTCATTAAGTATCAATACATACTATTGAAAGCTAATTTTGGCAATTAACTTAAGAAGGGTTTGTTTTAACAAAAAAGGTTTGCCAATAGTCTCCCCTATAATATAATATGCAGATCATTGTTTTATGTGTGTGTATATGTAGAGTGTTCTATTTGTTGAAAGGGAGTCGATCTTTTGTGCATTTATCATTGTATAAATTCTTTCGAGGGATAATAACACAAATGGTCCCTAAATATTGATCCAATGTGTAATGTGGTCCCATAATCTTTAAATTATGTAATGTGATCTTGAACTTTGGCCCAACAAGTTAATAATGTCCCTAGAATTTAATTTAATTTATTAAGTGTGGTCCATGTACTATTGGTAATTGTTTAAAGTAGTCCCTAAGTTATATGGACAATGTTTAAAAGTTCATTGACCACATTAAACATATGACCAAAGTTCAGGGACCGTATTGAACAAATTAAAAGTTCAGGGACGATATTGCTTATTGAACCAAAGTTTAAGTATCACATTGAACAAATTAAAAGTCAATGGACGATATTGACACATTGGTCCAAAGTTAAAGAATGTCGTCCTTGAACTTTTAATTTATTTAATATGGTCCATGAACTATTAGTGAGTGTTCAATGTACTCCTTAGAAAATATGAAAATGTTTTAAAATTTAGAGACAAAATTTCATTGGACCAAAGTCTAGGATCTATATTGAATAAATCAAAAGTTCGAGAATGATATGGCACATTGAACCAAACTTCAGGGTTCATGTTGAACAACTTAAAAGTACATAGACGATATTGCACATCGGACCAAAGTTCAAGAATCGTTTGTGTCATTTTCCTCTCTTTCAAAAATAACTTTTGATATATGTGGCACTGCGATGGAATCAGCACATTAGACCGATTTGGTTGTACCGGTTAAGCCGAGGAGTATAGACGCAATTTTGTTTTGTGCTCAAATCACAATAGTGAGAATTTTCTTGAAGTAACGGATAAAGTAAGCACCATTCCCTTTTTGGGCTAAAAAACATATCAAAACCTTCATTTTCTACCAAGGCAATTCATTTGAATTGGGGCTTGCGTCTTATCGGATGCATCAATTTAGCTTTACAACTTAATGTATTTGGCATTGATCCACCTAAGTTCGAGTTCCATGACATCAACGGAAAAACATTGTCACTCGAAATCATATCCACTCTCCTTGAGTTTGAAATAGCTTATAAATATGGTCCGAGGATGGCCCAGAAGAGCAAAAGAACAAAGATAGTTAAAGGAAGAGCGTTTGATTCTTCAAAAGGGCTCAGAGGCCATTTAATCCCCAAAAGATTTCGATCTGTCAAATATGTTGTTCATCAAAGTTAGGGCAAGCGCATCTCCTCGATGTATTCAGGACCCAGAACCGGTTCCCCATTTATTTTGAAAAATCAAATGTACACGTATCCCCAGTTCCTAATATCGTGAAAAAGTACCTTTACTTCTAAAAATATAATAAAACAGGGTCCACCTTAATTTATGTCGCTCGACATGAACATGACCCTGCAACATCTATTTAATGTGGAGATGTCATTCTTTTTCCATCCACCAAGACACCGAGAAGTTCAAATTTTGAATAAAAATTTCGTCTCTTTTCCCCCCCTTTTCCTCACCTTTTGTCTCCTTGAGTTTGAAATAGCTTATAAATATGGTCCGAGGATGGCCCAGAAGAGCAAAAGAACAAACATAGTTAAAAGGAAGAGCGTTTCGAATTCTTCAAAAAGGGCTCAGAGGCCATTTTAATCCCCAAAAAGATTTCGATCTGTCAAAAATGTTGTTCATCAAAGTTAGGGCAAGCGCATCTCCTCGATGTATTCTGGACCCAGAACCGGTTCCCCATTTATTTTGAAAAATCAAAATGTACACGTATCCCCAGTTCCTAATATCGTGAAAAAGTACCTTTACTTCTAAAAATATAAAACAGGGTCCACCTTAATTTATGTCTCTCGACATGAACATGACCCTGCAACATCTATTTAATGTGGAGATGTCATTCTTTTTCCATCCACCAAGACACCGAGAAGTTCAAATTTTGAATAAAAATTTCGTCTCTTTTCCCCCCCTTTTCCTCACCTTTTGTGTCATGCCAAACTTACTTAGGTTTAAATTAAGGATTCGTTCGTTTTGCAGAAAATATTTTTAAAAAAAATATTTTTTGGATTTTTTGGTGTTCGGAGGCGGAAAATAAACTAACCCCGAAAAACATTTTCCCCTCAATGAGTGAAAATATGAAGAAAAGTAAGGAAAATGTTTTCCTTTTTTGAAAAGCGGAAAACATTTTTCGCCGGCCTCCTTCTTAATTCCCTATCGGCCGTCGAGGCCATCGTCGCGGATCACCGGCCACCATTGCCGCCGCCGATCACTAGCCACGACCGCCGCAATCGCCGCGCTCGCCACCGGCCACCGTCCGTTGCCGCCGCCGATCGCCGAACACCGGAAGATATTTTTCAAAACTTTTTCGATTTCAAACGAACATCGGAAAATTATATCATTTTTTAGGTAAATAACTTTTCAAAAAATATTTTTCAAAAATATCACATTTTTCGCCAAACGAACGAAATCTAAATATCGAGTGCATAATTTGATCGAAACTTATCTTGCCTTCGGCTCAGTTCCCCGCGATCATGTGGTGTACCTTCGTTTGGTCCCGCTGGAGGCTCATGTCAAGTGCTTGTATAAGTAAATTAATGCTGCCAGGTCGAGTGCATCGAAATCAACCAAAGAAAGCGAAGGGCAAGCCTATCTTTCCGTGCTCATGATTAATGAGGACACATTGAAAACCCTAACTCACACGGCCTCCCCTCGAGCGTAGCCGATTCTTTCTCTGGTTTATTGAAGTGAAGATTAACTATTAATTTATAATTAGCCTTGTTAGAATATTTGGTTCTCAGTGATATTTATGTTAGGCTGGTTAGATATTTCGAATGCGATCGTTAGTGTCACGCATTGTCGTTTTCCATTTGCTTATTATGCACGCAACCTTGTATTACTTTGGGCCAAGAAAAGGACCCTTGATCACTCTATGTTTGTATTAGTACGGCATTGATAATGAGTGCTCTCGGAGCATTTGTTAAGCGTGCTTTAAAAGGTGATTACATCATAACACGAGCAAAATAGAGCACTGAAAGCTGCTCTTTGTTTAATTGCTCGCTTGTTAACAAAACCGCTTTGATAACGTGAGTTAAAAAGATTAAATTTCTTGGGTTTCAAACGCTCAAGCTTGCGCGCCTTAGCCACGTCATTACAAAAGAGAAAAAAATGAGCCAAAAGAGGCTTAAACAGGATTATGTAGTTGAGATTAGCAGCGTCGTTAGGAGCAGAAAGGTGATCAAACATTTGTCGTTGTCGTCAAATACATATTGCATGACGAAGCAACATAAGAAGTTTGGAAAGCGGTGGGCAGAAGACAGCACTTCGTGTCCAGAAATCATCGGGCAATTGATCTAATCAATATCGTACTTCAGTACAAACCCCATCTTTTTAATATAAGGTTTTAGCAGCAGGAGCAGCAGCACAGTGTGTTAGCTGTGTGATTTGTTTAATTGGCGTTTGCCCATCTTGGATCAGACAGAGAGCGATGGCTGGGGAGGACATGGAGCCATTGCTTTTCTGTATTATACTGAAACAAATTGTTAGCCAAATCTCCAACCACTCTCCCTCTCTCAAAAAGAAGATGCCATCAGAAAATTGCAGACTGAATAATCAATGGCGTTAACTCAATGGAAAGGAAAAAACAGAAAGATAAGAGGAGTTGTTCAACTGCGGATCAGAAGGGGTGTTGCAAGATTCTTATCTGATCATTCGCGAAGCAAAGCGACATCGATGGTGTTTTGTTCTGTTCTCGTTGTCTTTTCATTTTGGTGCTCTATATGGTGCTGGTCTGCTTCCGCACCATGCAATTCACATTCATAGGATAAGATGAATAACGTGGGTGTGCAGATTGACATTTGGTATGATGCACCGGACGAAGCCCCACTGACTTTCGGCCTGAATGAATGGCTGACATCGACCGGCACGTGTAGCCGTTACTTGCGTTAACGCGACATGTTCATTTTTACTTAGACCCACTTTCATATATATATATTCATAGAAAGAGTTTGCATATCACTCGTAAACTATAGCGAGTTGACTCTTATGGGAATCACAAACGTCTTGCACGATGGTCGAGCTTGTTTGTTTGATTTTCGGTAATGATCTATCTATATAAATGAAAACAGAAATATTTGAGGTATTCCAGCAATTCTAAGCAATCTTAGCTTGATCATGCTTTTGCCAAGTCAGCTTTTGGAGTCTTTTTGTTAAGCTCAAGTATTCTGACAGTGCATTAACCTAATCTACGACAACATTGTTACTATAATCGTACTTACTGTCTTCGACATTTACTTTCCATAAACATAAAGAAGTGCATATAGAACCCGTTCAAAGAATGACACATAAATGCATTGTAATTTGAAAGGCTCTGAACATGTTCATACCATTTTCCCTCTCCATTTCCTTCTTTTTCCCTTCCCTTCTTTCTCTCGCTTCTTCTTCCTTCACGGTTCATCGGCAGCGGTCGCGCGCGGTCGTCACGGCTGAGAGCGAGATGAACATGACTTGAGGTATGTTTGACTAGACGAGAGAGATCAATGATGTCCAGTCAAGGCTCTTAATCCGGACCTCACATTCTGAGGCTGTCGCACGCAATTCGTTTAGGAAGTTTAATCGAGATCGAACTATCGTCAATTTGTATCTTTAAAAAAATTTAGCATGTATACTCCGCTCATGTAATAATTTCTCAAGGAGGGTTGTCACCTGTCTTTTGATTTGTAATTTGGAGATGTTTCGTGGGCCATTAGAGAAAATATTATGGAGAAAGAGGGGCAGATTCGGCAATGCAAACAGTGAGATGGAAGTGGGCAGACGGTACGAGTTTCTGATTCTTTCCGCGCGTCGTATGTGATCTCCCCTCGGCACGTTCGCTTCTCATCTTTCTCTCCCCCCGAATCTGGGCCCACACTCCTCTATAGTTGATTTTGGAAATGACCCGAATGCCCCTCATTCTCTTGGTAACCTTTTTCCAAAGATATAGTTGTACAAAGAGTCCTTAAACTTTGACCCAATGTGTAATGCGGCCCCTGAACTTTTAATTTATTTAATGTAATCCCTGAACTTTTTGTAATTATTTAATCTAGTTCCTCAACTATATAAAAATATCCAATGTCATTCGTCCATTCATATGAGTTCAAGGGTAGCATTTAATATTTGCATATAGTGTAGGAACTAAATTGAACATTTTCTAAAAGTTCATGGATCATATTAAACAAATTAAAAATTCAGGGATAATATTATACATAGAACTAAAGTTTAAAGATCACATTAAATAAATTAAAAGTTCACGGGCCGAATTCAGGTATCTTTTGTGTCATTTTTCTTTTTTCCAAACCCCGAGCAACATGGCCCCACTCAATAGCACTTAATGCCGGAGAGACCTGAGGACTGGAAACTGATTAAACTCGCATATTCCCTTACCAAATCAGGCCAAAAAGAGAGTTGACTCAACCGAGTCATAAGGGCGATTCCATATGGGTCAAGTTCTCAGCACCTGAATAAACAAGAACGCCATCAACTTGCAGCTTTGTTTAATGGGGCGGGGGAGAGAGTCTGGTGAGAAGTACCAAGGAGAATAGCTCCAACCAGGAACAACATTAAACCCAACGTGTTCTACCACCTAAAACTCAGATGTCCAAAGCACACCACATGATCTCTCTCTCTCTCTCTCTCTCTCTCTCTCTCTCTCCATCCTTTCTTCATTATTAGAATAGAGGGGGAGTGGGGGTCCAAGTCCAAACCCTAGTCTTCAGATATAACCTAAGCCCGCACTTAGCCATAGGAATGGTAGGCTCATCTAGAAACTACTTCCACCAGAAACATTTGCACTAGACCCCATCTCGTCAAGAGCTTTAATAGGTGATTGAGAGATGAGAGAGAGTGAAAATCGTATGGTTCTGATTGAAAGTCCTTCGCGGACGACGGACCCAATCCGCAGGTGTTAATCAGCTTCCATCGCGAGGAAGTACTCGCGAGCTGCAGCCTCAAAGGAGGAGGAATCTGCATTTGAGCGGATCGCTGGACGGAGTCGTCAAATCATCGATTCTGGTCGCGAAGAGCGCACTTGCCATCTACAAGACAAGGACGCAAGTGAATCCAAAACCAAAAGCGAGCGAGAGAGGGAGAGAGACAGAGACAGAGATAGAGAGAGGAGTTAAAAAATAGGAAAAGAACAATAAACAAAGGGAGACCCACCACGCCACCCACTTTTCTCTCCCTTAAGACCCTCTCTTGGATCTCTCCCCCTCTCTCTCATATGATCGCACAGAGAGCTTTTGGAACTCCCAGCTGCTGCTTCTTCTTCTTCTTCTTCTTCTTCTTCCTCCTCAGTCTTTCTCTTCATGGCTCTCCTCACTTTCCTACCGGACAGCTCCTCCAGCCACAAGCAAAAACCACCCCCTCCTTCCAAACGCAAGCGAACCAAGCAGCAGCACCACTACCACCAGAAGCAGCACCAGCACCAGCACGAGCAGGATCCGAACCTGAAGCTGAAGCAAAAGCAGAAGCAGCCCGCGCCGCCGCCAACGCAGTCGTCGTGGGACCAATTCAAGAGCCTCCTCACGTGCAAGCAGGTTGAGGGTTCCGCCGTCCATGACCCCTCCAAGAGCAACAAGCTCGTCGCCGGCGGCTCCTCATGCAGCTCCATATGCAGCTTCCGGGACGTCGTCCACGGCAACACCCGTGTGGTCCACCGGGCTGACAACTCCCCCGAGAGCAGCTCCGTCGGCCAGGAGGCCGGCCTCCTGAGCCGGAAAGGCGGGAGTGGGTCCTCTTCCTCCCGGTCGCTGGCTGGGTCGGCAAGATCCCACGGCGGCGGCGGAGGATCGTCGAGAGGCATGCAATTCAGGAAGCTCTCCGGGTGTTACGAGTGCCACATGATCGTTGACCCCAGCAGGTAAATCACTTGGGTGCACGCCAACATGCTGAATCTTTGGACACTTGATGCAAAAGAATCGACCCACCACCATTCTATCTCGCCTATCTTACGTTAATTTCCAACCCCATATCGCGAGTGACGAACATGGTTTTGATTTGACCATCATCAGGTATCCATACACGCCCAGGTCAACCATATGCGCATGCTCTCAGTGCGGCGAAGTCTTCCCTAAGCTTGAGAGCCTGGAGCTTCATCAAGCAGTTCGTCATGCCGGTATTTTTTTAATCTTGTTCTATATAATATTACTTAAGTTTCGTTTTTCATTTACATGCCCTAAATTATCTTTCGCACGAAAACAAAAAGAGCACAAAGGAATAATACTTGCCCGTTACGAAAGGATATTTTTGCTTTGCCTTGCCCTTGCCTTGCTTCCATGGGTGATGTGTACCGAAATCGCCTTTTTGTCACCTTGTTACATGATGCCGTGACATCACATCACGGAAAAAGCGTTTTACTACAGTCGTTTATCCTTTGCCCCGAGCAAGAGAGATTATTATTATTAGTATTGATTAGGGTTGACCGCCTTTTAATGGAAAAGCTTGGCCCCATCCCCCCAATTAATTACCACTTTATAGATCACATTCCACCGCGAATCTTGCATTTTTGCCACGGTGCAAGGGCATCAAATCGCCAAATTGCCAAATCTTTAATCTAATTAGTAATTACCCTTTTTGATCAATGAGCACAGCAGTCGATTCGGGCAAGTTGGAGTTCGGGGGACCATTGACTAGTTTTTACTTACTCGTTAGTCCACCGTCACAGCTGTCCCGATGAGGACCGAAGGGATAACGCCCTCGTTTCCTTACGTGGCGGAGCTCCATTGGTTGACACCCACTTTATTCGTTTCGTGCACACATCGGACTTTAATATTACTGCACTAATCGTGACCCCACCGACAAGTCGGAGTAAATATCGTTCATTTGACTCCGCAACTACTTTTTATTTTTGGTCTAATTTCCCCGCCACATTAATTGCGCATTTAATATTATATATATATATATTTATATATATATTTACATATTTTTCTTTGCAGTGTCGGAGCTGGCGCCGGAAGATTCGGGCCGCCACATCGTGGAGATCATCTTCAAGTCGAGCTGGCTGAAGAAGGACAACCCCATCTGCCAGATCGAGCGGATCCTGAAGGTCCACAACACCCAGCGCACCATCCAGCGCTTCGAGGACTGCCGGGACGCCGTCAAGACCCGCGCCCTCGCCAGCGCCCGCAAGAACCCGCGCTGCGCCGCCGACGGCAACGAGCTCCTCCGCTTCCACTGCACCACCCTCGCCTGCGCCCTCGGCTCCGGCGGCTCCGCCAGCCTCTGCGGTTCCGTGCCCGGCTGCGGCGTCTGCACCGTCATCCGCCACGGCTTCCACGCCAGGGGCGGCCAGGGCGGGGGCGTCTGCACCACGGCCAGCAGCGGCCGGGCCCACGACTCGCTCCGGTGCGCCGACGGCCGGCGGGCCATGCTCGTGTGCCGCGTCATCGCTGGCCGGGTCCGCCGCGTGGCCGAGGACGCCACGGCCCCGCAGCAGCCGCAGCAGCCGGGGAGGAGGACGGCGGCGCCGCGGCTATGGCGGCCGGCTCGTACGACTCCGTGGCGGGCCACGCCGGGGTGTACTCGAATCTGGAGGAGCTGTTCGTGTTCAATCCCAAGGCCATCCTGCCTTGTTTCGTGGTGATTTACAAGGCCCTCGAGTCTTGAAAAAGATTAGTGGACAATCTTTAATGGAGCATCAAACTTCATTTTGGCTTTTGTCGTAAGGTTTTCATTCGATCAAGTGTTAGCACCAAACCAAGTCAGAGGTAGGCGTAGCTGATGGACACGGTTGACTTTCGATCATCGATTCACGAATTTTGTATATATTAATGTGTTCTTTCGTTCGACATATATAATGTCGAATTATCAGGAACTTCATCTTTCCGATTGTCTATTTAGGATTTTGTGTTTACGAGTTTTTCAATGTGCCATTTTGATTAGCGAAAACAGAGTGATTATTATGGTTAATCGAAGTCTCCTTGCTGTGGATGCCTCTACCTTTTGATGGTTTTGCATGGAGTGACGCCTTGGCTTTGGTTTTGTTTAGTGACTGCAGCTCAAACACCCTACAAAACGACGTGCGCGATGAATACATTAAGGGGTTATGCCCATTTCTTGAAGAAAACTAATGAGGGAATTAGAATGATTAGACAGGGTTAAGATCATTTAATCATTTCGTGGTACGAATAACGGAAGTAGACAGCATGTAATGCAGACAGGGCAACCGCCGCTCTAGGCGAGGAGGTCGCTAGTGCGTGCTCGCTCGAACAGTCGTCTTCGAGCGACCCATCCGCACGCGTCGTAACCCTACCTTCGATTTCGATTCGATTCCAACGTTTAGCAGACACACAGCAGTGAATGGCCACGTGAGGTTCGTCTTAAAAAAAAACTTGTCTCCAAAGGAGGGCATGAAGAAGAAGAAGAAGAAGAGAAGCGCCACGAAGGGAGCGAGATCCGTCGGCCCGCATCATCGAAGACTTTTGACCGAGCCAAAAAAAAACCACGTTGCTGGCAATTTGCGGTGTTGCACGATGTCGAAAGCGCATGATAAATGCCCACTAGGCTACACATGCGCCTCCCCACCGGGGTGTTTGTCATTTCTTCATATGTTTGGACCTTCGAGACGCATATATTCGGCACTTATATATGACGTCACTGTTTCTTTTGATTATTGCTGTGGAATCTATTGAGATCGTCGCAAATCCTAGTGCACGTAAAATTAGGGTACTTTCCACTCCACAGCAAAGTCCATTTGTTATTTTTCATGTAGGAGTTCTGTTTTGGTTAGATTTTTATATAGGAGTTGAAGCGTAGTCTATGGTCTCGTCTTTTATGAGGTGCTTCAATTAAGGTCAGGGTCGGCCCCCAACTAAATCTCTTAATTAATGGCCAAATCGATGAACCAATGTTCATTGATATTTTGAATCCTCCCCTTGACGTTGCGTTTTGACTGGTTGATGATGATATGGAGATTAGATCTGTACTTAACGTCAGTCCAACTCACGTGGGAAGTGAAAAGCTTCATCCCACGGCTGAAGTCTTGATTTTTGCTCATCGTTTTGGAATAAAGTCAGTCATGAGTGAATTTGATCATCGGGCTGAACCCTTTCATCAATCTGTTGAGTATGTCTTAAATTCTTTATGGGTTTGGGCTAACTTTAGGGCTTGGGGGCAATATAAATATTGCTTTTCTCAAGTTATTATGTTAAGAAGTTGAAACAAAAAGAGTCTTTAGCTTTTAAGCCACCTTTTGTAATCCTCAATATTCTATAGTGGATTTTGCTTCTCTCCTCCCCGTGGTTTTTCCCTCAAAGGTCTCAGTTTTATTTTTGTTATTGTTTCTGCATCAGTCATAACAATCTAGTATCAGAGCCCTTGGGTTTTTCGATCTTCTGGTTATGGCTTCAAGTTCAATAACGAAATTTGATATTGAGAAGTTTGATGGGAGCAACAGTTTCAACCTATGGCAGGTTCGTATGTTGGCTCTTCTTATGCAGCAGGGTTTGAAGAAAACTCTGTTTGGGAAATGGAAGAAACCGCAAAACACGTCACATGAAACTTGGGAAGAGTTTGATGAAAAAACTCTATCTGCTATTCAGTTTTGTCTCACGAATGAAGTTCTGCTGGAGGTACTAGATCAAAAAACAGCTTTAGGTTTATGGGCGAAATTGGAGAGTATTTTTTTGACAAAATCCCTCACCAATCGGTTGAGGCTCAAGCAACGACTATTCACTCTTCGTATGGCAGAAGGTGCTTCTCTTGAGTCTCATATTTTTGATTTCAATGCTTTTATCTTTGAATTAAGAAGTATTGATGTTAAGATTGAATATGAGGATTAAGCTCTTTTACTGTTAGTTTCACTACCTCCCTCTTATAAGAATTTTAGAAAGACTATGATTGTTAGTAGAGAAACTATCGATCTTGAAGATGTCAAAACTAGTCTTCTAAATAAGCAGAAACTAGATACATAATTGACTTTTGAAGGCAGTAATGATCATGGGGCTGGTTTAGTCGCTAGAGGAAAATCTGTTGAGAGAAGCAATAGTAGCAGGAGCTGATCAAAATCGAAGCATAGGGATCTGATTTGCAACTATTGTAAGTCTAAGGGGCATATCAAGATAAATTGTCTGAAACTAAAGGCAAAGCAATAAAGAGAAAATAATCTAAATCAGCAAAATTAAAAGAATGCAAATCGACATAACAATCAGAACTACCATAATAGACATAATCAGGGAAATGAAAATCCCGCTCAAGCTGGTGTTGCTGAAGAAGAAAACAAAGATTGGTTATTGGCTGCAGATGATAAAGACAAATTCAGTAATAGCTGGATTCTTGATTCAGGCTGTTCGTACCACATGTGTCCTAATCGTGATTGGTTCTCCACGTACAAGGAATATGATGGTGGAGTTATTCTAATGGGAAATAATGCTAAATGCAAAGCAGTTGGGATTGGGACTGTCAGTATTAAGATGCATGACGGCATGATCAGAACCTTGGAGAATGTCAGACATTCCTGATTTGAAGAAGAACCTTATCTTGTTGGGTACATTTGATGCTAATGGTTGTAAGTTTATAGCTGAAGGTGGAGTTATGAAAATTATGAGAGGTTCACTTCTGTTGATGAAAGGTCTAAAAATTGGAATTTTGTATCAACTGCAAGGTATTACAGTTACTGGTTCAGCTGCAGCTTCATCCTTTATGTCAGAATCAGATAACACTAAATTATGGCATATGAGACTAGGCCATATGAGTATTAGAGGGATGGAGGAGCTGAGTAAGAGAGGTCTTTTGTGTGGTCAGAAAATTGGAAAACTGGATTTCTGTGAGCATTGTGTCTTTGGAAAACAGAAAAGGGTCGGTTTTAATTTGTCAAATAAAGTTGGGTCCATTATCTTATCTTAACATGCAAGTGTATGGAGAATTAGTGCTCCTTCATGTCGACGTCAATAGAGATAGGAGATGACGATGCTAAATCACGGAATATGTTATCCTTGAACTTAAAAAAGAGAAAGAAAGAACCTTATCGTTTATTGTTCTAAGCAATAATATTTAATCGGTATATCAAAAAATTAAGTAAGAAAGAACCTAAGATTATTGGCCTGGAGACATGTGCTTTTATAATTCGTTTTTAGGTCATCTACCCTCTCCTAATGATCATTTTTAAAGTACGTTTTGAATAGTAATCGATCGAACTTGAGAAGACTTTTTTTATTCATTGGAATGAAGATAACGGAGGGGAAAATTACCAAAAAAGTCCTAAAACTTTTGCAATTGTGCCAATTCAGTCCATCCGGCCACTTTTGGCTGGCCGGCGCTGACGTGGTAATTTTTAATAATTTTTTTTTTTCGAAATTTTTTTATTTTTTTCTCTTCTTTTTTTCCCCTGTCTTCTTCCCCGGTCGCCGGTTCGATGACTGGCGAGAGGTTGAGGCCGGCGAGGTCCACCTCGCCGGCCATGGGCGAGGTCGACCTAGCCCGGCGACGGCAAGGCCTTGCCAGATCTAGGAGAGGCCTCGCCGTCGCTGGGCGAGCTCGACCTCGCCAGATCTGAATGGCGAGGCCTCGCCCAGATCTGGCGAGACCTCGCCGTCACCTGGCGAGCTCGATCTCGCCCGACCATGGCGAGGCTCGACCTCGCCCGGCGACGGCGAGGTCCACCTCGCTAGATTTGGGTGAGGCCTTGCCTGGTGACGGCGAGGCCGCCTAGATCTGGCGAGGCCTCACTGTCGCCGGGCGAGCTCGACCTCGCCCGGCAATGGCGAGAGCCTCGCCGTCACCGCAGTGAGCTCGACCTCGACGGCGAGGCCTCGCCCGGATATGGCGAGGCCTCACCGTCGCGGGCGGCTCGACCTTGCCCCGGCCATGGTGAGGTCGACCTTGCCCGGCGACAGCGAGGTGGACCTCGCCGGCCTCAGCCTCTCGCCGGTCGCCGGACCTGCAACCGGGGAAGAAGATAGGGGAAAAAAAAAGAAAGAGAAAAAAATAAAAAATAAATCGAAAAATAATAAAAAAAATTGTTAAAAATTGCCACGTCAGCTGGCCGGCATCCACGTCAGCGCTGGCCGGCCAAAATTGGCCGGATGGACTGAATTGGCACAATTGCAAAAGGTTTAGGACTGAATTGGTTAAAAAAAAAGTTTATGACTGAATTGGCACAATTGCAAAAGGTTTAGGACTTTTTTGGTAATTTTCCCGATAACGGAGACACTACCATCTTCGCGTGAGAATTATATCTTGCCAAACTCGAGCTTTTTTGTTTGTTTGATGAGTTAAAAAAAAGTCCTAGAGAATCGGTGAGGCTAGCTAATAAGCCCAAGGGACAGTAGTCTACGTTTAAGAGAACCGTTTTTCCCCCTTCCCCCGAAAAAAACATAGGCGAGAAGTTGGGTCGACTCTTGTTTCCATCTTCGCTTTCTTCGACTCTACTAGGAAAAAATTTTAACGTGATCTAGAAAATCTTATTCTCATCCATCCAAGTTAGTCATTATGCATCGAGTGGTGTGACTATTCATTTTTCGTTTTTCTTCTTTTGGATTTTGTGTTGACGAGTTTTCAATGTGCCATTTTGGTTGTCGTATCGAAGTTTTTGCGACCATGTACGCTCCACAAGATTCATATGATTAGCGAAAAACAGAGTGATTATGGTTAATTTATATCTCCTTGTTGTGGATGTTACTACCTTGATGATGGTTTTGCATGGAGTGACGCCTTGGCTTTGGTTTGTTTAGTGACTGCAGCTCAACCACCCTACAAAATGACGTGCGCGATGAATAGATTAAGGGGTTATGCCCATTTCTTGAAGAAAGCTAATGAGGGAATTAGAATGATTTGATGGGGTTAAGATCATTTAATCATTTCGAACGACGAACAATGGAAGAAGACAGCATGTAACGTAGACAGGGCAACCGCCGCCTTGGCGAGGAG